CCAGAGTAGTGAGCTTAGAAGAAAGAGCAGATTTAAGGGGAAAGAGAAAGAGCTTCGTTTTAGACAGTCATTTGAGCTTAAAGCGCTGATGGAATATAAAGATGAAACTGTGAAGGTAGTTGAGGATCCTGAGTGGACCTCAGAAGAGGGACTGATACCAAAAATATTTATGGAGAGAATGATCATAACAGGGAGGGTCTTTGAAATCATGGGAATGGATGAGATTGCCAAGGGAGAGAGTGAAGAAAGAGAAGACGACCCTTAGGGAACACTCCCATTATAAAGATGGAAGGAGAGAAGCCAGCAACAGAGCGTTTAGTGAAGGGGTAGAGAGTCTGATGTTTCTGAAGTCACAGGAGAAGAGGATCCAGTTGGAGGGATGAGGAATCACCTCTGATCAGCAGCTGCCTGTTTTCCTGCCCCCTCCGTCCTCCTCCAGCTGCCTAGCACCCTCACCAGAGATCAAGCCCTGGAGGAATTTCTGCCTGTGCAAACCACGCTCCTGCTGGCCTGTGACTGCCTCTCCCAGAATACTGTTTCAGGAAAGGCCCTGTTTTCCTTCCCTCCCTCCTCTCTAGCCACCTGTACTACAGCTTTCTCTTCAGAGAATGGGAACAAGGGTCAGGGACAATCCTAACTCATTAATAGGACCATCTCCCTTACTCTGTGAGCAGAGGGAAGAGGATGCTGAGAAGTTCTGAGGAATGGAAAAGGAAAGGAGGAGGGTGTGTAAGTGAACTCAAAGCGGGTTAGATGTGTCTTCTCAGCGAAGCAGGAGGCTAGGCCATCTGCTTGTTGTGAGGGATGGGGAGATGAGAGAAGAAAAGTCCTTTCTCAGTTTGCCTAGAGTGCCTGACCCAGATTTCCTGTTATGCTGTTCTGGGAGTAAAGATTTTGTTATCTTCTTGGGTCAGGTCAGATGTTAGGGGGAATCATGACAGGGTCTGCCCAAGGACATGTTACCTGGTCTAGCTATTTTAGGTAAGTTTGTGAGCTAATGATGATAAATCATGTTCCCATAAAACAGGTTTATAAAGTGATTCCTCACAGCAGTTTTGTGAGCTAGGTAGTGTGACTGTTATGTTCCCCACTTTACAAATGCAAAGGAGGTTCTCAGAGTTTTGGTGACTGTAAGTCATAGGATTAGGGTCTGAGCTGAGGCTCCAGATCTGACCCCTCCTGAGTCCCAAGGGTGGTGCTCTTACCACAGTGCTGGATTGTGTAGGCTGAGGAGATCTGTTTGATTTCCTGGCCCTTCCTTTGGTTATTCAAGAAGCACTTTTCTGGGCCCAGTGCTTCTCATTTGCTGGCTCATCTACGAGAGAGGAAGGAAAGAGAGCTGAGGGATCAGAGTCAGGGGGCCTGCTGCCCTGATGGCCCGTATCTTTGGGAACTCAGGATTGTGATCATGATTAGGTAGAATATTGAACTGGACTACACCAAATCAGCTATAGACATTTTTAAGTAGACTCAGCCAGCAGGAAACCTTGAGCCAAGGGCAGACATTCCTAGTGTAGTTCAGAGAAGGAGGGACTTCCTTCTGGAGCTGAATGTGGGGGGTGGTTTGTGGCTGAGGGCATGAATCCTTAGAAACCAGGTAGATGCAGCTGGAATCCTGGCCCCCTGGAATGACCTGTTGGTGTGCTGTAGTTCTCTCAGTGCTTGGCCCCCTGGATAGGTCTGGGGATGGATGGTCAAGCTTCCCAGCTGCTGCCACTGCCCTGAAGCCTTGAACAACCTCAGCACCGCAGAGGGAGGCTGGGAGCCAGGCTGGGATCTTCGTGTTCCTGCACTGGGTTTAAGTGAGGACATTTATATGGTTTTCCTTGGTTTTTTATGATTTTGGTTTAGTATGTGAATACTATTAGTGCAGAAAAAAGAAAGAGAATAGTGAAGAGGTTACCAGTGTCCGATTCTTGCTCCATGCAATGTAATGATGAGGGTGAGGAGATAGGAATTCCTCCCACTTTGACACTGTAGCTCCTGCTTTGGGTGATGGCCTCACCCTAGGAGAGGTCTATACCTTCTCTAGGGGTTGCAGAGGGGATAGATGCTCAGAAATGGGAATCCTGGATGCTCCCCTATGGTAAGACACTTTCCTGGTATGCTGGCTTGGTTCTCAGTAACCCACCAAATTGTGGAGATGTAGCTGTTGAATCATTTGTTTAGCCCATGGGCTGAAGAAAACTCTTTTCTGGAGCCTTTACAATTTCTATTTCACATTTTCATACACACATCACATTATTGTATCAGAATTCCTCATCTTTATCAGAGATTTCAAGCCCTACTCTCTCCTGTCCCTTTGCAGCTTCCATAAAGAACTTGCAAGAGTTTTATCCCCCTTCTAAGTAGAAAGGCTGTGGACGAAGTTCCAGGTGGGTTGTAGTCTTCATGCAGGCAATTCCCAGAGAAGACAAAGCCTCATGTCCTTGTGCTTTTTTGTGTTTTTGGTATATAGTGATCTTCGAATATGTGGTTTCCGCTGATAGAATGTAAGTTCCTTGAGGGGAGGCACTGCTTCATGTTTGCCTCTGCTTGGCCCATAGTAGATTCCTTATAGATGATTGACTGATCGATTGCTTGAGTCATTGACCTATGAATAGAGAAACTAGAACATTAGGTGTTGTTTATAAGGCATGAGATCTTCCTAGTTAATTAGTGCCAGGAACAAAACCTGGGGGCCAGGAAGAAAACCCTGTTGCTAAAGGCCTGTTTGTGAAATGGATACCATGAAGGAACCACGAGATTTTGTGTGGACTTTGTGTGTTAAGAAGGGTGTACAGAGTCTTTCTTTGTCCCAGCATGCAGCACGAATGAAGGAGCCGCTCACTGGACTTGGAAATCCTTTATGTGTGTAGGAAGGTCTGGTAGAAGCAAAACTCATCTGTCTAAGCAAAGGACCTGTTCCCCCCTTGCCTGAATTAACTTGGAAGGGGGTGATAAAACATGAAAAGTAGCCAGGGTTGTCAGTTATCCAAGAAGAATGTAAGGGACTCACTGTGAGGAGCAGAATGAGAACCCTCCTTCATTTGGGAGCTGGAGGGCAGAGCAAGACTCCCAGCTTGAATTAATGAAGATCAGGCTTAAAATGACAGAGCCTTTACAAAGCCTTTGCAGAGCTTCACCAAGAAAAAGGGTGCTGATCTGAGGTTTCCTAATGGGAAATTATATTTCTTTTGACAGTTACTCAATGTAAATTTGATGATTCAATGTGAGTGCTAGGTAGATTAATAGAAATCATGGGAAAAGTCTTAACTCCTACAGGTTCCAGTCCTCAGATAAAGAGTATAAAGGTTTGGGTTTGGTTTTCCTTTGTTTTCCCTGTGAAGGCTTCATTTATTCAAGCTCCTTGGCTATCTCTCCCAATTTGCAGAAGAAAGCTGGATTTCTCTGGTTGGCAAAAATGGCTGGGTTTTAATTTTGCCTGAGGGCAGAGGTGGGTGGTCTAGGGAAAGCTGCTTCCTCCAAGGAACCTGACTGGAAAAGAGGCTGAAACAATGAAAGAAAGAGGGAAAGCGATGAGAAAGCATCTTCTGAGCAGTATTTGGGGGCATTCTGGTAGGTTTGGCCAAGAGGCTGGAGAATGGAATTTGGATTCCAAGCAATCTTGACAAACTACAATGAGGGACTGACTCTGATAAGATTAAATTTAATAGAAAGAAATATAAAATCCCACACTTAGATTTTTTTTCAAGCTCCCCATGTACAAGATGTGGGGGAAGGTGAAGTGTGATGTTTGGGGCTAGACATCATTCCGGGCAAAAAGAGCAGTTTATTCAGCACCTGTTATGAGCAGAGTGAAGTTATGAGCACTGTGAAGGGTGCTGGTGGAAAAACAAAGTTCACAGAAGACAGTGCAGCCCCTGCTCTGATGAAATGTTGTGGCTGGTAGGGAGAGACAGAAACTCAGAACAGGTGGTGACCACGTTTAACATCATGTGTAAACAAAGTCAGGTTCTCTCGCAGGTCTGAGTAGGTTTTGAGAGTCAGGCTGCCTTCTTGGACATGGTGGCGTTCAAGTTGAGTTTTAGAGGATGGGAAGGTATTTCACCGTGGAAGAGGAATCCCCAGACCTGAGCAAAGGCAGGGTAACTAGAGAGCATGGGGTATGGGGGTAACAGCTGTCCAGTACAAGGAGTCATGTGAGAGGAGATGCAGGACCAGATGGCAGCAGTTGGCGGAATCAGTTTTACATATTATCCTCATCAGATCCCATGTAGAGGCCCAGCTCATGGGTCTGGTCTCTCTCACACTGACTGTCGATGAGCCAACTGGGTGCACAGGGACCTTTCCAAAGGTGTGGCATGGTCATGTAGAGCATAGAAGAGAAAGACATTTTTGCACAGAGCCTTTAGCACAAGCTATTTTAAAATTTCCTCGAGAAGCAGCTGTGGGTATCCTATATCTAGTTGAAGGATCTAGGCCCATTTTTTAGATTGAGAGATCTCAAATGATACGGCTTAGTAACATTATCCTTAGATGATGTTTGTGTCGTGGACCCTTGGGCAGTCAGTTGAAGCCCATGGTCCTCAGAAGAATGCTTTTAAATGTATAAGATAAAATCGATAGGATACAAAGGAAGCCAGATATATTAGAAAAGTTGTTTTTTTTTTAATCCAAGTTCTCAGACTCTAGATTAATGCCCCCTGCCCTAGAACGAAGAAGTGGAAAGAGCATCAGGTTGAGAGGCGGGAGATGTGGTTTTTAATTCTCTTACTCTGTGACCTTGAGCCCTTCCCCTTCTTGGGTCTCAGGCTCCTCAAATGAGATGCTTGGGAACCACCTCTTAGAATAAGCACAGGGTTGCTTGCTGGGATGGGCTTTGAATCACTTGGGTGAGGGCCAGACCTTTGGTGACCTTGGTTCTCTGGAGAATGGCTGGATCGTTAGGGGACTTGATGTGTTTTATTCCACATCTAGAAAAGGAGGATGAGTGTGGCTCACGTGGGCCTTGTTTGCTTCCTGGTGACCCATGTGTTTCCCTTGTATCCTGTCCATAGGCATCTGGCTAAGAGCCTGGGCCAGGCTGGTGAGATTGAACCTGAAACAGAGGGCATCTTGATGGAGTACGGCGTGGATTTCTCTGATTTCTCCCCAGAAGTTCTGGAATGCCTCCCTCAGTGCCTGCCTTGGACCATCCCGCCTGCAGAGTTCACCAAGAGAAGAGATTTAAGGTAAACTCTGGATTTTTCTTTCTCTTTGTAGTGATTGTTTCCTCTCTGCCCCCAACCTCAGTGCCTGAAGGTGCCTGGTTCTCACTGCTCCCTCCCTAACCCCACCCTAATTCAGTTCAGTTCAGCTAAGATCTGTTACAGATATATAGACCATCCTGTTTCTTTTCCTCCCAATTAGGGGGATTGCTTTGCAGCAAGAGACACTGTATTCTGGGACCTAGAACCCAGGCTCAAATGAGATCCTAGTTCTCTGTGTTTTCCTTTCATTTACCTATGAAAAAAACAAAACAAATCCCATTGGGTGGGAGGCAACACTGTCTGCCTTGCATGGCTGCCAGGTTTCTTGGGCCGATCCCAGGAGATAATGTCTGTGGCCTTGCTTTGTAAATGACTGACCCCAGTAAGGAAGGAGTTATTAGCCTGTGCTGGGGCTGGAAGCTCCCCTTTCGGGGGACCTCTCCGTGGCCGAGCAGGGATTCAAGGCTTCATGCTTGGAGCCTCTTCTCTGAGCGTCACTGTGAGGTCTGGAATGGACGGGAAAATACTTTTGTGGTGTTTTTATAATGATGTCTTCTTTGAAGATGTTTCTTCATTGTGGGATGGAATTACTTTTCTGATATTTCTCCTCCTAATTTGGTTTCAGTGCTGGCATTCATTTTGGGCCCCATTTGGGGATGGTTAGAACCAAGAAACTTCTCAAACAGTCCAGTGGCATTGTCAGTTTTTATCCTTAAGTCTTAATGTATCTGAGAGATTCTGGACTTACAGACTGTCTTTACCTATGGAACACGTTATGCCATGAAGTCTCCATACCTGTTACTGTACCTCGTCTCGTTTGGGGAAAGCTTCAGCTTCCCCTGCTCCTCATTCTTGCTTGCCGACTCTTAGGAGGTGTGCTGCCTAATGGCTTCTATGGCAGATTAGGGAGAAGAAATCCTTCAAAAGATCAGCTCCCCAGGTTAGGCACACCTGCTCCCACCAACATGGACTGTCGTGGGAGATGGTTGAATGGATTGTGGTGTCCCTTGTAGCCACTTGTCTTGTACTGAGCTCTCCAAATGCAGGGAGGCCTGTGTTTGAAGCCTCCCCAGCTTGGCAGAAGCGGCTTGTCCCCACTGGTGGAGCTGGGTGTGAACACCAGAGGAGAGCCGGGGCGGTATGTGAAAAGGGAAATGAACGGCCAGTGGATGTAATTCCTTACTAGAAGAGTGATCTTCGTCACTGTCATCTTATTTCACCTTTATAGTCACTCAGGGAGGTGGCATAATTACCTAATTTTACATTATTTTAAATCAGTTTAAGAAATAGAGGCAGAAATAATAGGTGAAGGAACTTGCCCAAGGTCACACAGCTCTCTAGTGGCAAAGCCAGAAGTGCAGCTCAGACCTCCAGACTTGTCTCCTCGGGCTCTTTCTCCCATGTCGTCCTGCTCTGACCTGAGAAGTGGCTTCTTCTTAGAAGGTGAAAGTGAATGGCTCAAAATAGAGGTCATCACCCGTTCCCACTTCTTTCTTTTTCCTTTTTTGATAAGTTGTGTCGATGCTTTTTGTTTTTATTCAAAGCTATTTCTGGATATTATTCCTTCTCCACCCCTGACACGAACTCTCCCCTGGTAACAAAAAAACACAGTTAATTAAAAAAAACACCAGCCAGCCCAGTGTAGTGATGGAATGCAGCGCTCTGCTCTGGGCTGGAATTGAGTGTTCTCTGGGACCAGGCTGGGTTATTGCGCATCGTTTGTAGTTTGGTTTCCTTTTAGCGTCGATTGCCTGCTTGTAGTTATTGCACCTACTTAGTTCTCCTGGTTCTCTGCGTCTGATCATGCAGGTCTTCCCATGTGTCTCAGAATGCCTCACCTATCATTTTCTTACTCCACAATAACATTCCATTGCATTTCTCACACGGCGTTGTGTTCGGCCGTTCTGCAATCGAGGGGGACCTGCTTTGTGTCGGGTCCTTTGCTGCCATGGGCGTGCTGCTGAATGCTCCGGTCCCTGCTGGGCCTTTCTGTCGTTTGCTCGCCTGCTGTGCTCTGAGGAGATGGGCTGTTGAGGTGCAGTAGCCGTCTTGTCCCAAATTCCTACGACAGGCTCAGCTTCGAGAATCAATCAGTTAAGTGTCTGCTCTGTGCTGGGTGCCATGCTGGGCTCTGGGGATGCAGATACAAAAGGGAGAGCGTCCCTGCCTTCCAGGAGCTTATCTCCTACTTGGAGAAAACCAGATGTGCATGTTGGAGTAGGTCTGAAATACACATACAGGGAATTTTAGGAGGAGGTCGCTGGCAGCTGTGCAGATCAGGAGAAGGTCCATGTAGAGCTCTGGTGGTGCCCGCCCTGCGTTTTGTTGGGCAGAGGGGAGGAAGGAGTGGATTCTGGGAAGGGGCAGCAGAGCCAGGTCAGTCACTCAGCATTCATGAAACACTTGCTGGGTCTCAGGCAGTGTGTTAAGTGCTGGAGAATGGAGTGTCACACGTGAAAAACTGAGAAGGCTTGTTTACACCACAAGGTGCAGGGTAGAAAATAACAGATGATAAAGCTGGAAAAAGTAGGTTCGATCCAAATGGTAGCGAGTTGGAAATGTCAGGCAGAGGAGTTTGGACTTGATGCCAGGGGCAGGATAGAGTCACTGGGGAAGGACGTGGTCAGACTTATGTGTTGTGACTGTACCCAGATCCACTGGAGGCAAGAAGACCGGTTGGGAAATGGTGGTCTGCGGGCGAGGTGAACTGGGGACAGGGGGCCATATGAGGAGAGAGAATGGGATGGACGCAAGAGATTCTGTGGACACAGAATTGACTGGGTGCAGGGGGAGAGGAAGAGTGAGGAGTTGAAGTCGAAGCTGAAGTTGAGAACCTGGGACCCAAAGAATAGCGGTGCCCTCCATGAGAACAGGGAAGCGTAGAATAGGAATTGGTGTTGGGGCAAAGCGCCTCAGGTCGGTTGTGGTGATGTGGAGTCTGAGATGCCCGTGGCTGATCTAGTGGGAAACGCGCCGTAGGTGACGGTGGCCTGGAGCTGGAGGTAAACGAGTAAATGCGTAGAGATGGTGACTCAGCCCACATGAGTGGATGAGGTGACCAAGAGAGGAAGTACAGAGAATGGAGAGGAGGGGTCCAAGAATGCCCAGGGGACACCCAAGAAAAGAACTTTTGGCCAGCCCTCTACAGAAGTGCTCATCACCTCTCGCAGCCTCCCCTGGCTCCACTCCCCCCATTTCTGCCATTAGAATTGCCCTTCCCATTTGAATCACAGAGACTGTTTTGACTTTTGTGTCACGGAAGACTTGGCTGGGCTACATGTCGACAGGGATTCAGGGATCAGATTTGCTGGTTATCACCGTGGCACATGGAGTCGGGAGTAGCTGAGATCCTGGGGATTCCAGGGAGAGGTGGGCACTGCAGCTTCTGCCTGATGTTGGGTATTTCACTCTTCCCCTAATAAATGTCTCTTTAAAAATCACTTTAAACCTTAGGCAAACTTACTTTTGTCCTTAAGATGGTCCAGGTTACGGTGATCTGCAGTCAGTTTAGCTCATCCAAATGACACCACACGCCGTTTGCTAAGTGCCGACTGTGTGCAGGGCACTGTGCTGCTGGCTGGGGCTGGGGAGGGCACATGCAATGTCTAGGAAGATTAGTGTTATGATAGAGATTATGGTGTTATTGGGGCATAAGGCATAAATACAGATAAGCTTCTCAGTTCTTCGAGAGGCACAAAGTCCAGAGCTTTGTGATGTCTGAGGAAGGTTGTTTTGGACTGGAGAAACCACGGAAGGCCTTCATCCTTTGCATTATGACTGGGAAAAGGTTGAGGCGATCCTGTCCTGCCCAAGCTTCCTCTCCTTTTCTTCCTCCTCATTGTTGCCCCAAGTTAATTGAGCTGCCAGTTGGAAATGTATAAATTACAGGTGTGAATCTGGGCTGAAATCCTGGTTCCGTTGTCCTATTTACCTCTGACTGCATTTGCTTATCCTGGCCTGGGAATCTTCTTGGGGAGGGAAAGGATGTGTCTGATCAAACCTTCCTGTAAGAATGCAGAGATTATGTTCTCCAGGTGCAGTGAGGGAGGAAACACTAGCCCGGGGGCCATGCTATCAGATTCTCCACTTTCATTAACTCTGGTGAGGTAAGCAAGGAAATGAGCACCCACAGGATCAAGGAAAGCAGCAACTCCTCTGAGGTCGTTTCTAAGGGGTGAGGCTCCCATAGTGGGAAGGGAGCGAGCTGCGGTGCCAGGGGTGCTGTCCTCAGCTCACTACAGAGACCCCCCGCCCCTGACCCCAGGGCCGGCTTCCAAGTGAGCTCTGCTAAATGCTCCTGCAGGTTTAAACAGGAGACTCTAGCTTGGCTTCCAAGCATCCGTGTTGATTCCAGTGTTTTAGAGAGCATTCTGGGCCCTGTCCAGGCTTCTTGCCTTCAGTCATCCTGCTTATCTCTTCATAGAAATACTGGCCCCTTGACCCTCTTGTCATCCCCGCCAAAAGAGAATGGGTGGCCCTGCTGCTGCTGCCTGCTCTTTCCCTATGGCTTCTAGCATTAAATACAAAATGCTCTCCTTGGCATTCGGAGCCCTTCCTCACCTGCTTTCTCCTGTCTGCCTTCTCTTCTTACTCCTCGATCCATTGACATGGCCCCCTTGTCTGTTTGATGAACAGTACCCTCTGTCTCTGTCTGTCCCTCGGGTCTGCAGCACTCCCCGCCCCCAGTTTCCTTTACGTTCCAGCTACCCTCCCACCTCCTACAGGCCGCCTTTCCCAAGTCCCTGTGATTCCTGCGCCTTTCCTCTGCTGATCATTCCCTGTTTATCCCGTGTGTAGTGAGTTTGTACAGATTTACTTGTCATCTCCCCCATTAGAGTGTGAACTGCTCGAGGGCAGGGACTCTCTTTTGCCTCTTTTTGTATCCTTAGTGCTAAGCGCAGTAGCTGGCGTAGTAGGTGCTTAATAAATGTTTATTGATGGATCGATTTCCACATAATGTATACTATTTATATTACGAATAC